TATTGGAATGTTTGCAATTACATTTTGGGGATAGAATCCAAGTCTAAGCCCAATTCATTTATATTTCATAAACACCTTATACATACACATGGCCTGAAGGTTTCCATTATACAGTATTTTTAGGGCAATTGCATTTTAACTGCAACTCTTACATGAGGTCAAGTGTGGAATTTTCCATGGTGGCATCATGTTGGCACTCAAAATTTTGGGGGGTTTTGGGTCATTTCTATGTTTTGAAATAGGGATATTTAACCTGTAGTTCATCTTTATTTTGAAAATGTTTTTAAACATTTAATAGAAACTTGGATCCTACTGTGACAAGTGTTATATAACTACTTCAACTGATTCGAAGCCATCCTAGGTAATTCATACATAAAGACTCTGTAGTCTATTCAGTAATTCACGGATGCTTAATTGTAATGGTGAACAAAGCCAAAATAGTTATAAGCACTATAAAAAACAAAAATTCAACACTGGGATAGTCCAGATTTAAAGAGTACTCTCCCCTAAAAAAAAAAAAAAAAAAAGAAGAAGACCTAAGGCACTGAGCAAGGCTACTCTGTTATATTTACCTGCCGTGATCTCCATTTTAGGTGTAAGATGAGGAGGGCTACTTGTTCATGTTCTTATCTCTTGCCCAAAGAGTTACACTGTATACCTTGAATATAGCTCTACTACTACATTTTGACTTCTAAGATAAAGATATATACTAAAATTTTTTTAAAATCTAGTTTAGCTTACTAACTTTATTGTTTTCCAAAATAATGGGAAATAAGTGTAAATATGCTAATAATTACTTCCAAAAATGAAAACAGGAATATTACTTTTCCCCAGTATGGCTCAGCAAATACATTGTATCAAGCACATATGGAGGTGGTCTGTGAGAGTGACTAGTCTTTTGCTGGCAATGAGTTGGAGGTAGGAAGGCCAGGCAGGACAATGTGAGAGGACCAGTTACCTTATATGTCAGCAGAAAACAAGAGTGTCCCTTAGAGACAGTAAGGAGCGATGGAGATGTGGCTTTTGACCTACATGCGAGTATTGTCAAGAATCTATGGCACATGATGTTGCGATATATGTCTTTTTAAAGATATATCGTAGCAATATGTAATACATTGAGAGAGTGGAAATAAGATAGAAAACCAAGAGGCTTTGTGAGCTAAGCGTTTATGTATAATACTGGTCTAGAACACATTTGTGTCATAATGGATGTTAAAAGCTAATGTACAAAAATGCAGGAAGACATTGTTTAAATGTAAAAAAAAAAAGTCCAGAAAAAAAAAAAAAGAAATTAGCAACTGCTAGTGTGGATTGGGGAGTCATCTATATCGAAGTGAACCCTTGAGAAATGTATAAGATTGTAAAGGAGAACAATATTAAATATTAAATATATTAAATATATTGTGGGCAAGTACAAATATGTAACAGCAGATCCCACTATTATGTGTAATTATAATGCATCAATAAATTAAAAAAAAAAAAAGATTGTAAAGGGGAGAGAGACAGGGAATAGGCCAAGGGTGGAGCCTTAGCTACTGTTGTGATTGATGTTAAGGGGAAACACAGAAATGGTAACAAGGGAAGGAAAGGTGACTCAGGAGGAGATATTGGCCCAGAAGCCAAAAGACAGAAGGGAGATATCCATGGCCCATTTGGCCTGTCTAGCTTATAAAGACTTATTTTGGATTTTGAAATTTAAACTTTTTTTTTTTAAAGCAGACTTTGAAAGTTACCCTTGCATCAATAATTATTTTAAGAGGTATGTATGATTTACTGTTGAGGGCTACAAGGTCAAACCAAGCAAATAAAATAGATCCCAGAAGTATGCTAAATGTGGGGAGATTTCAGTTTTGTGTTTACATATTTTGGAATTTGACACACAGTTCTTTTAGACTTCTTGTTACTACATCATTGAGCTAAATATATAAATCTTAGTACGTTATACATAGTAGTTAAGCGACAGGATAATTATATCACAAAATTTTTTTTTTTTTTTACTTTGTGAATTCATTTAATGTAGTGTCTCTATTAACGGCCCACCCTAGGATATTTTAACTTATTAAGTTTTGTGTCTAGACAATTTTGGTGAAACTTATTTTGCCCAAAGCAGGTACACAGTTCAGTTGTTTAAAAAAACAAAAACAAAACAAACAAACAAAAAAAGACATAAGCTCAGATAGGCATTGGTTTCTTACTACTTTATGGCTTTGAAAGACATTCTGAATCCTCTTGCTGGAGTGTTTACCACAGCAAGCAGTAGGATTTAACATTAAATTTTCATTTTGATTAACTTGACTGCAGTCGTTTCTTGGCTGCCTCTTTAGAGCCCACTGTGGAATAAAATTAAAACAGTTTTTATGATATAACAATTTAGTTGCAGAAAATGACATTTTTCTCTTTTCCCAGAATGGCTGTGTGTGCTATCCCTGAGTTTCCTGCATCTGTCCCATGGCTCTGGTTTCTCCCCCATTCCCATCCATCTTTTATAATACCACCAGATTAATTTTCTTAAGCAGAGATTGGGTCATTCCCTTTTCCTTCAATGGCTCCCCATCGTCTCCTCTCATCTAAGCCCAGCTCATTCGTCAAAGAAGCAGCAGCCCAAATGCTGTATTTTCCCCTGAACATCTTCCTTCACCTCCTCTGCTGAAGTCCCTGTCTCCATGGTAGACTCTGTCCCTCTTGCATTTGCATGGGTCATGCCCTGCCTTACAGGAACACATCTCACCCATGAGAATGTGGAATTCTTGAATGCAAGAGCCACGTCTCCTTATTTATTTATTTATTTATTTATTTATTTATTTTTTGTACACCCCGCCATTGTCTGTTCATAGAAGAGTCTCAACAGATGTTTGCTGGGTCAATGAAAAGGGACTATTTTAAAATAACAAACATTCACACTGCCCCTTCTTATGAATGTGTGAGCCTCTCACCCTTCACCTTTCCCCCCAGCTTCTGATTAGTTTGTAACGTAGTTTTTCATTTTCGTCCTTGGGCATTGGCTGTCTCCTCCCTGTTGGGAGATACCTGGTGCTTCATTTTGTTCAGGGATGTATCGCTGGTGCTCAGAACCCTGCTTGTCGTACTGGTTGAGTGAATAAGTAAAACTTTGAAGCTGAAGGTCAGCTTCCCCCTATTTCTTGGGTTATTGTCAGTGGTTTTCAATGTAAAGGACAGTGTGGTGTTGGAAGATCAGGGAGCAATGTAGTAAGACCTTCATGTTAGTTTCTGCTCTTTACTAGCTCTGCTGCTCTGTGCAAGTTGCTTAACTGCTCTGAAGGTAATTTCCTGTTCGAGGATCACACAACCTAAATTACATTGTTTACATGAGGATTAAATTTTAGGGGGAAAAAAAAAGAAAAACACATGCAGTGAAGTTAATAGCTGACGTTTCTTGATCTTTGCTAGTTCGCCAGACATGTTGCGACACATTTTCCATTTGTCTGTCACTGTATATTTTCAGAGCCATTCTGTGAAGCAGAAGAGGGCTACCCCCATCTTATAGATGAAAAGAAGAAGGGTCCTGCACAGTGGTGGGTGGCACAGCATTGATAGCACTGACAGGTCTGCTGAACTCCAAATTTCATGCTCCTAATGCCTCTGCCAATTGTGTGTGTGCCCCTCCTGGGCTGCTGGACCTTTCCTTTGGAGCAGGGGTTCTAGATTTTACCTTGCTGCTTTGCTGCCATAATATTCTTGAGGTTTGCAGAGGGCTCCTGAAAACCAGTGGCCCCCAAGGAGGAATTTATGAAAAAACCTGGTCCCCCCAAAGCTTGAAGGGCAGGGAGTCTGTTTGGAAACTGCCCCCTGGATGAGTTAGATCCTTCCCCACCTGCTAATGTACTCCTGCCTCCAGTTTGTGGCCCGTCCCCCAAAATAAAGCTTTTAACTCTGTTATTTTCCACTGCAAAGATATAGCCCTCCTGCATTAAGACTGTTGTAAGGATCATTGCATTATTGGTTTGGAAACAAATGAGATGGTTTATGGTTGAGATAACCAAGTTGATCATTACTGTCCTTTCTATTGATTTGAAAAGTACTGAGTCTTCTAATTTTAGAGAGATCTGCAGATGCCACTTCAAAACACACTTATATCACTAATAACTGTTAATTGTTATAATAAAGTTAACATAAAATATAAGAAAGGCTATTTTCTGTGTAAAGGAATTAGCCTTTTCAGATATTTTCATTACACATTTAAAAGAACCAACCCAGATTTAATGGGGTGGATTATGTCTCCATCTGAAAAGCATTTTTTTTTAATGTTTCATGGAATGGATTTCTCTTTGCAATAGTTTGTCATCAGTTCAAAGGCTAAAAAGGTACTCCAGAAAATATTAAGATGAAAAATAATTTTGTTTGTATGCTATAAGGCTTCATTATGCTTAATTGATTGGGAGGTTTGGTAGAAGGCCAGAGAGAACTGGCAAACATATAAAATTTAAAAGGAAATATAGGCATTTCATTTCAAGTACTCTTTCAACAGAGGCATAAGTTCATTTCTGATAGCTTTATTATAGTGATTAAGAGCATAAGTTTTGAAATGAATCTGGCTTTTTTTTTCTGATTAAATCTGAGTTTAGACGTGTTACCTAACGTTCTGACCCTTGATTTTTCTCACCTATAAAAAAGGAGCAGGACTTACTTCATAAAGTTGTTTTATTACATGAAATAATACAAACGCATCTAAATAGTGCCAGAGTATTGCAGGCACTTTAACAATGTTTATTATCATTGAGATATAGTCATTTAGATCTAATGAACCATTTGAATATCACTTTGCCCCTAGGTGGGAAAGATTTTTATGGAATCCCTATGTGAAATTTTAAACTTGGTATGGAATACTTTTTTTTTTTTTTTTTTTTTTACGCCAACTCAAATGGTAAACTTTGTCTTATCTTGGGATGAGCTGTTAACGTCTGCATTAGTGACACTTTAACTCAAGTATGGAGTTATTAGGTGTGAATTCTAAGTTTCTTATATGAAATTGTGTTTTGCAGGAGAGTGCATAGAAGGGCTTCGGGAGCATGACTACCTTCTGATTCATTCTTGCCGGCAGTGGACCACCATCACTGCCCATAGCCTGGAGGAGGGCCATTACGTCATTGGGCCAAAGATAGAGATTCCGGTACACTATGCAGGTAAGATTCCTCTCAAAGGGCAAGAAAAAGCAAAGAGAAGAAGGGGACTTGAACAGTTGATTTTTTTTTTCTTACCTTCACAGTGGGAAAATGGGACTCTTAAGAAAAATTAAGCACTTTTATGTGATTATCTATCAGTGAAAGTTCAGATGCATTTTGTGATTGATAGCTCTAATTAATGCAGCTGGATATTTATAAGATGAAAATTTTACAAACACAAATTACTTCTCTGTAGTCTTGGAATTAAGAAGAAAATATGTAGCCACCCTCTGAGCTCCAAGCACTCATATCTCTGAATAACCCTGTGCAGCTTGAACATTGCTTTTGTGAATGACTATGACGTAATGATTTCCAAGGAGGTGCCATTGCACAAGTGGCCACTGAGTCTGGTTTGAAAGTATTGACTTGGAAGTTCAGATACCTGAGTGGGTGTGTCCTTCTTTTCAAGGAGGCTTTTAGAACACAGCCCCTGCGATGACCTCACTGTTCCAATTCCATGGGGATGATAGCTGCCTTCTCACCTCTCTTTGAACTCCATTCAGTTCAACAATGCCCTTTAACTAATTTTTATTGAGCTCATTCTATAACCAAGCAATGAGCTTGGGATATGTTTAGTGATTTGAATAAACTCAATAGTGGTAGCTTATAAATGTTTAAAAAAAAAACAACCCTAGTATTGCTTTATATTTTGTTCTGGTGAGTATAGTTCATTATATAAAGAATCTTAAGTTTTTCACTGTTGTTGCTTGGTTTTTAAAAAGTCAGTAGCAGAACATTTTAACCAATGGAGCATAAATTTTGTAGCCCTAGACTGACTTTTTTTTGGACTGGCCTCTACAATGCTGAAGAAGTTGTCTATTTAGAAAAGGGATCTTGCAGAATCCCCACTGTCTAGAACAATAGTAATTTTTTTTTTCAATATATAAATGTTTTATGAATGGGTGCTTTGGTACCCTTTTCAATTTATGGAAGTCTTTAGTTGCTAATATGACTCAAAGATCCTTCTTATTCAAAATATTATACGAAAGTGAGAATTTCTCTGGCCTTAATCTTGGTCCTTTAGAATATCTCCTAGTCCTATGAGTAGCTTTCATGAAAACAGAAAATCACTTGGGTGCTGAAGAGATTGCACCTGGGAGAAAGGAGCCAGGACAATGGACCAGTTTTCCTAGGTGCAGAGAATGAGACAAACCCTCAAGGCTGCCCATTCTCTCTCCCTGTGATTCCCACAGAAGGTGATTTTCCCGTTATTTTTAGCAAGCTCAAATTCTGATTTCTTTGTAGAAAACCAAAAAGAAAAGTAAATGGTTATATTGCTTCATCCACATCTATGATTTTACCTAATCTGCTGTATTCTTTTTATTAGAAGACTGCATAATTTTAGTCTTCCCCCCAAAACCATTGTGAATAAATAGCTCTGCCAAATCAGTCTTCCCAAAGGATTGCTTTGGTTTGGTCACTTCCTCAGATCTCTGGAGACTTCCTGCTGCATTAGATTCTTGGCCTTGTTGGGTAATTCCCCCGAGAGTTCCAGGCTACTTCTCCAGCCTTTTCTACTCTGGAGAGTGAAGCTTTCTTTCTGGCTACATTAGACCTCCCACTGTTTCCTGAATACCTGGGACACTTTTCCATTTGTACCGTTATCCCCACTAGAGTGGATTCCCTCAGCCTTGCTGCTTCTCAGAGCCTGCCATTGGTTGGGAGTGTGCAGGGGCTCTCCACTGCCCCATGTGGTCTCCTGATGTACTCACCATGTCACATTCATTGGGCACATTTGGTCACTCTTCAGTTACCTCTTCCTGTGTACACACGTTTTCACCAGTTGGACTATAGAACCTTTAACAAATTAAAGCATTTCTGAGAAACTCTTGCCTATCCCTTGAATTGGTACAGAAGAGATACACTTTTTGATGGAGGTAGATGCTGGACCTAGGGATCCCAAACTTGGCTACAAGTGGAATCACCTAAGAGAGTTTTAGAGGACAGGGTCCTAACTCCAGAAGTTCAGGTTTAATAGGTCTGAAGTGTGGAACTAATTAAAGGATTTTAAAAGCTCCCCAAGGTTAAAAAACGCAACCAAAGTGGGGAGTGGACACCCACAGTGGCAGATGATAAATAAGATATCTCCAAACACCTAAAAATATTTGCAAATGTAATAATAGTATTTGAATGTATGTTTTTATACTCACAGCCATTCAGTTTTCACTGGAAAGACAGAGATGGTACATTCAGCAGTTTACTCTGTTTTTAAGGAAAATGATGATGAATATAACTGGGAAACTGGGCATCCTGTTACAAATGATACATATTGTTTTTAAAGAAATTGAGGTGCCAAGATTAAAATGAAATATGGACATTAGGATCATGCCACTTTACATGAAAGCAGATAAAACATATTAAAGAAAGAAAAAATTGAAATAGGTTCAAATGGTTTATGAGGTCATCTGCCATTAAGCACAATAGAATGGATGGTCAGTGATACTCCTGAGCTGTCTGCCTGAATTGCTTCAGCAGGACACTTAGGTAGAAGTTTTGGGGTGCAAATAGGTGATTGATCATTTTGTTTAGGGATATGACATCTAGAGATAATATCAAGAAAGTTCCTTTAGCAAAGTTTACAAAGACAAATTTAGTGACTTATTAGTTATTTTAAAAAATAAAAACAACTATTAGCTAACCAATAAACAAGAGGACATTGCGTTCTGATTATAGTGTAAAATTGAGACTTATGAGTCTGGATTTGATCATTTCAGAAGTAATGTGATTCCACACACTGGGTATTACACACTGTTTTTGTTTGTTTGTTTGTTTTTCCTGAGATGATGTCTTGCTCTCTCGATCAGACTGGTCTCAAACTCCTAGGCTCAAGGGATTCTCCTTTCTGAGCCTCCTGAGAATCTGGGACTACAGGTATGCATCACCATGTCCAGCTTGTAGTAGCAAATATTTTGTTTTGAAGCATGGACTTATTATGAACTTCATCCCTTAGAAGAAAAAGAACATAAAGTATGTTGTGGAGACCAAAAAATATCATTTATATCTCTCTAGCTTACCTTTATCCATGCATATTTGACTAATTTGTCAGAAATTTCATCTAGGATCACTTCCCAGCTTTTGGCTAAGATCAAGTGTAGACATTTCATCTAGGTTAAGATTAATCTTTCATTCTTTGAGGGAAATTAATAAATAGTTAATAATTAAAGTAGAGCCCACCAGCTTTAAAATCAAACAGCATAGTTTGATTCCCAGTTCTCTCATTTACTGTCTGTTTTACTTGAGGCAAGTTAACAGATCTCTTTAAATTTTATTTTCCTCATCTGTAAAGTGGGGGTAATTATAATGCCCTGCTCCTAAAGTGGTTGTAAAGTATAAAAGAGATAATGCGTGTGAAACCCTTTTCAGAGTGCTTAGTACTTTTTAAGTGCTCCCTCAATGTTAATGGTGACCATCATGATAATGCTACTAACAAAATGTTTCTAAAGATTTAACTGTATCTTGTATCACTAATCACATGCTGAATTTCCTTCATTGAAGCCGGCTGAACAACGACATCCCTCAAAATTGTTTTGGTGGTTGTTTGTTTGTTTTCTTTCTGTTGTTGTTTTGTTTTGCTTTGATGTTTAAAAACTCTTATTTTGAGTTTGCAATAGTGTGCTGCTTTATATCTCTTACCCTGTTATGCCCATTTTAGCATCATTTGGTCATGTTCGTTCTTTCTCTCCCTCTCCAATGCACAGGTGGATGCACACACTGCGCGTTTCCTCAGAGCAAGGATATCCTCTTATGTAACTCTTAGCAAATTCAGGACACTTAATACTTTAATCTACAGTCCATATTCCAGTTTTGTCAGTTGTCCCAACAGTGTCCCTTTTTGCATTTTCCCCTCCAGGACAGCATCCAGCCTGGGACCACCTATCGTATTTCACTGTCACGTCTCTTTAGCCTACTTTAATCTGGAGCCGTTCCTCAGCTGTCTTTGTGTGTTGGGATGTAGACATTTTCTGAAGGGTGCAGGCAAGTTGTTTTATAGAATAGCCCTCACTTTGGTCTCCCTTCTCCTTGTGATTAGATTCAGGCTGTGCATTTTGGGCTGGCTTACCACATACGTGATGTGTCTCTCTCAGGAATTACAGTTTAGCACCAGGGATGTCCTTGTGCCCCTTATTGGTGATGTCAGTTTTGATCACTTAGATTAAGTTGTCGTCTGATTGCTTTGGCTGTGTAATTGGCATTACTAGGGAGTTTGAGAGAGGATACTTCAAGACCCTATAAGTATCCTTGCTCCTTCTCTAAAACTTCCAGCCCCTCCTCCCTAACCTGATTCTGCAATTCTGTTGAAGATTTCTATCTAATTTTGTTTTTACTTGAAGGTGGCAAAACATTTACTGCTTCATTCCTTCTTATTTCTTAGCCTTCTTCCATGGAAAGGAAAAGCATTTCTTTCCTTCCCATTTATTACTTACTTATCTGTTGTAATCAGCATGACATACAGATTCTGTGTTATTTGATGGATTACAACATATTACTCTCCTAATTTATATTAGCGCCCATATTGTCCCAGATTTGTGCATTGGGGTATGAGCTAGTATTTTTATCTCCCTCTGTCTTTTTCAGGTATACCCTTGTCTTCTGGTGTGGGTAACAAGCATTCTTCTCAGTCAGTATACTGTTTGAGTCAGGGCTGCAACATCATTCTGTTCCAGGCAGTGCTTCCCATTTTGTGGTTTTGTAGATAGAGTCCCGTGGAGTTGGGCAGTACACAGCCTGGGCAGCCACACACAGCAGTAGCGTTCACATATACCTTGGAAAGTGGTGAGACTGAGCACTTTTTAAAAATCATGACTCGAGTGCCTTATCCATGGTTCACATCAAAGACTTTCATGAAATTCCTCATGTGAAAAGAAATAACGTCATAAAACTTTGAGAAAAACTGTGACTTGAAGTCTGTTACAACTACACGCTGAAATGGAAGTATAAAATTCTTTATTCCAAATTCTGAG